TGCTCTTACTTACTTTAGCATCGGAGTGTCTTGCAGGTACCCCCCCCCCCCCCCCCCCCCCCCACCTCGTTCAAAACTTTCAGCTCGGAGCCAGCCGTGACGATCCAAGTCTGATCAGGTTAGATCATTAAACAACCCCTTAAGAGGTGTACATTGGTGTGGTTCAAGGATAGAAATCTCATGGTCCATTTCAAATACGAGCGACTACCTACTTTTTGTTTCATCTGTGGAAGACTGGGGTATCAATTGAAAGACTGCGAAGCAATGGGTGATTTGAGTGAGGAAGGTTTTGAGGACATAGATGAGCAATATCTTTCGTATGGAGGTGGCTTCGCTCTTCCCCGTTACCAAAAATGTCGGAGGACCAGATAAAAAAAGAATCAAATTCAAGCTCGTGTAATAGGAGCTTGTTTAACATATATCATCAGGACAGAGCAGATGCAACACGAAGGAAAAGGATAAGGAGATAGATAGTGGAGAGGGGGAAGTAGAACAAACAAAGCAGAAAGCAGGTGAGAACCCAAATGAAGAACACCAACAACCTCTTATCCTCGTAGAAAAATCTAATAACTTGGAGATTGAAGCGATGGCCGAGTCTTTCGGAGCGGTGGAATTGTCAAATGCTAATAACAACAAAGTACTAAAACCAAAGGCTGCAGCGAGAAATCGTAAGAAATGGACAAGGAAACCAAGTGCAGAGAAGGTAGCTAACGAACAGGGTAAGAAATTGGATCTGGAGCTAGGGAAAAGAAACTTGGTTGATGTTATGATTATTGATGGCACAACGGATGGATGTAGGAGTGGAGAGAAAAAACAAAGGGGTGGGGATATGGAGAAGGTGAATGACAAAACAGAAACAGAGGTGGTGTTGGCTACCGCCTACAACAATGAAAACAATAAGGTGAAACTGTAGGGGGTTGGGGAGTCCCCGTGCAATTCGAGCCTTGCTAAGGCTCATTCGTATCCAAAATCCCAACATGGTGTTCTTAATCGAATCAAGGTTAAAGCAGGAAAAGGTTCAAACTGTTTGATATAGGAGCAGATTCGAGGGGTGTATGAGTGTTGATTATGTGGGGAGTGGAAGAGAGAGGGCTGAAGGACTTATTCTTCTATGGAAGGAAATAATCAAGGTTAAAATCTCATCATAATCAAATAACCATATTAGGGGTTCTGTCGAAGATGAAGGAGATAGTCAGGAGTAGGACTTTATTGGGCTGTATGGTTGTCCAGAAGAACACAACAAGAGGAGGACGTGGAACCTTCTACAAGAAATCATTCAAAGTGGAGGGAAGAAAATAGTGTGTTTTGGGGACTTCAATGACATAATTTATGACCATGAAAAGCTGGGAGGGAGCAACCGGACTTCACAGCAGTTTTCATGGGGGAGGCAAGCCTTCGAGGTGTGTGATTTAATTGACTTGGGATTCGAAGGCTATCCCTTCAAGTGGACAAATGGAAGACACGAGAGGGAGAATATTCAATGCAGACTCGATAGGTGTTAGCATCAAATGGATTCATTTATCAATTTTCTCCTATAAAAGTGACCCATTTGTATAGTTTTGGATCTGATCACGCTCCTGTCTGTATAGAACTAGAGGCAGAAGTGGAAACAAGAAAAAAGAAGAGAGTGTATGTCTTTCGGTTCAAAGAAGCGTGGAGCAAGGATCAAAGATGTGAAGAGGTCGTAAATCAACTTTAGAGGAATCATGGTGCAGGGGTTCCTAATAAAATTGCAGTGATGAATGGCCTTGAAGATCACTTTAAAGAGTATCATATTGGTGAAGTCAACCGCGAGTTAGGCAGAATTGAGAAGCTCATGAATGATGAGAAGCGTTGGGATGTGAGTGTTAAGTCTATAAAGGCTTACAAAACTCTCGAAAGTCAACGAAATTCTTTACTACATGTCGAAGAGATTATTTGGAGGCAACGAAGTCGCGCTGTCTGGCTTAAACACGAAGATCGAAACTCAATGTTTTTTCATGGCAAAGCAAACCAAAGGAGGAAAGTGAGTGAAATCAACAAACTGAAGGACGAACAAGGGCACTGGTGGAATGGTGATGCTCATTGTGAAAGAATCTTGGTGGAGTATTTTTCTGAATGATTCGCGTCTTCTGTACCCACATGGGCACATGATACTTGTTCGGTGGTTAGGGGAAAGCTAAACCAGAAGCATTTCAGTTGGTGTCAACAAACTTTCACTGCTCATGAATTCAAAGAGGCTCTTTTCCAGATGGATCCGCTTAAAGCTCTCAGACACGACAGTCTTCCGGCACTTTTCTTCCAGAAATACTGGCATCTTATTGGACCTGATATTAGCAGAGCAGTTCTGGATATCCTAAACAATCAGAAAGATCCAGGAAATATCAATAACACCCATATTGTCCTAATTCCAAAATGCAAAAAGCCTTCAAGCCCAAAGGACTTCCGACCCATCAGCCTTTTGTAACATTGTGATGAAGATAGTGACAAAAACAATAGCGAACAAAATTAAGCGCTTCTCTCGGATATCATTGACAAAGAGCAAAGCGCGTTTGTGAAAGAAAGGCTTATAACGGATAATGCGTTAGTTGCAATGGAGTGCTTCCACTGGATGAAAAAGAAGAAAAAATGGAAGCGGGGAGTTATGGTTCTCAAACTTAACATGTCTAAATCCTATGACCGGTTGGAGTTGTAACGCCCGTAATTTAATTAATTATTTAATTATATTATTTTTGGAATATTTAAGAGGTGTTATAATTAATTGGATTTATTTTATTAAGTGGAGAAATAATATTAGAGATATAGTATTATGTGGTGAAATAATATTAGAAGTGTAATATTATTTAATGTGGATTTATTTTGAGAGAATAGAAGTAATAAGGGGGTGTGTTGGTTTAAGCCCAATAAGGAATAATAGAATAATAAGATTATTTTTTATTTGTTGTTGGAATAGAAGTAAGAAGCAGTAGAAAGAAATAAGGATTGAGAAGAACGTGCAAGCTGCGTGAGAAGGAGGAATAACGGCAAGAACGTGAATTCAATCGGAAATTGTAGAGCAACCTTCAATTCAAGGTAAGGGTGGAGTTCTAACTCTATAATTGGGTTTGTGATGATTGATATGTGGGGTTAGAGGTGGTTGTTGTTTCGTTCCTAAATTGAAATTATATGATTGTTTGTGATGAGAATCGATGAATGTTTGGATGAATAATGATGCCTTGATGTTGTTTAATTGCTGTAGAATTATAAGGTAATTCATGGGTGATAAATTGTCACGATTAGAGTAGGTTTAAGACTTTATGTATGAATTTGTAAGGTTAACAGGGAAGAAACGTTGAATATTGCAATATAGAAACGCATAATTTAATAATTGGAAATAGGCGACGCTGCATTAGAATAATGAATTAATTGGAGAATAGAATTTGTTAGTGTTGTTCTTAGTTAGATTGATAACAGGCAAAGAATTCCGAACAACAGGACGAATAGAAAATAACAGTTCTGATGCTAGACTTAGGTGGTTAGAAGCTGCGTTGAATTACTAGGAAATAGAAGTTCTGACGTTAGAAGTTGTATGGGTTAGAAGATGTGGTCAGTTAGAGGACGGTGAGGATCAGAACTTGTATCTAGTCAAAAGATGGCATTAGTCAGAAGATGAGTGGTCAGAAGATGGGATGATCAGAAGTTGTAACTGGTCAGATGTTGAGTGGTCAGAAGATGAGATGATCAGAAGTTGTATCTGATTAGAGGTTGGGTGGTCAGAAGATGAGATGATCAGAAGTTGTATCTGGTCAGAGGTTGAGTGGTCAGAAGATGAGATGATCAGAGGTTGCATTAGTCAGAAGTTATAGCAGTCAGAAGATTGTGTCGCTAGAGGTTGCGTCATTAGAAGTTGTGTATTTAGAAACTGTGTTGGTTAGAGGTTGCGTGGTCAGAAGCTGTGTTGGCCTTTGCGTTGTTTGTGCAGAACGATGAACAATAGATGCATAGAAGCTGCTGTTTGAACCATAACAGTAGGAAAGTGACAGTCTTGACTTTAGAGTTGCAGAATGACAGTGTTGTCTTACTGTAGATATTAAAATACCGCTGAGTTATAAATGATAAGTTATTAATAAATAAATAATGTTTAATGAATTAATTTGATTATTTTGAGATGTTTTGAGATGATTATTTGTGATGTTTTGAGATGATTATTTAGGATGTTGTTAACTTGGGTGTTAACATTACATTCATGGTTGTGTCACATACATTGCATTTTTGAGATGAAGCTTATGCTCGTTGAGATGGCCTGGATTGACAAATTTTGAGATGAAGGCTATGCCTTGTTGATGCCTCTATTAATTGACAAATTTTTAAGATGGGAGTTCTGCTCCAATGGTACCACATGCATTTGCATAGTATTTAGTCGCATTATATGATTTCATAAAGAAGTGTATTTTGATGTTGATGAATGAATATTATTGTTGAGATTGTCGTTGATCATGAGATGAGAAGTGGTGATGTTGTTGATCTAATTTAAATATATTGATTATCATGCACCTTATTATATTGTTAGATATCTCATCCCTTCTGTTTGAATGTTGCCCCTATGTTGGTAACGTGCAGGTAATCGAGAGTGAAGGTTGTATACCTTCCATAGTTCGAGTCGGTGTCATTGCTCTGATATGTAACACTCGGGGGGATGAACGCTTGCTGTTTTGATTGATGATTTTTAGTTGTTGAATTTTAATTTGATGATTATTAAAATGAGATGTTTTCAAAGTTGCTGAATTGTTAGAGATGTTATTAAGAATTCTGCTGCGTAGATGTTGATTTATTTGATTAAAGATGTTATGTTGATGGTTCATCGATGTTTGAAAAAGTGTTATATATCCACGATGAATGCAATGAATTTGTTAGAAGAATTTGTGACGTCCTGATTCATTTGTATGATTGAAATTTTATAACTCTGATTTATTTATATATTTTGCCGGGGTAGAATTGGGATGTTACATGAGTGGAGTTTTGTTGAAGAGGTGATGAATTCGATGGGATTTCCAAACTCTTTGGTGAATCTCATTATGAAGTGCATTTCCTCGGTGTCCTCTAAAGTGCTCCTCAACGGGAAGCCTAGCGCAAGGTTTCAACCGGAGAGGGGCCTCCAACAAGGGGATCCCATTCCCCCCTATTTATTTATAATGTGTGCTAATGTCTTTTCAGGTTTACTCGAGAGAGGCACGCAAAAAAGAGATTCATGGCATCAAAGTGGCAAGACAAGCCGCAAAGACTTCGCACTTGTTCTTTGCAAACGATAGCCTACTGTTCACACAGGCTAACCTACATGAGGCGGAGAACATTATGGAGGTGTTGTTGCAGTATCAAAATTCTTCAGGGCAGGTGGTGAATATGGAGAAATCTGAGGCGTCCTTCAGTGGGAATGTCAGCGATGAAGTCAAATGTGGGATACGATCGAGGATGGGTGTGAAACATGTGCAGAGCGACTCCAAATACTTGGAACTCCCTGTCGTTTTCGGAAGATCCAAGAGGGAGGTTTTCACAATGGTGGTTGAAAGAGTGTGGAAAAAAAATCAAAGGATGGAAGGAAAGGTTTCTTTCTAAAGAGGGAAAGGAAGTATGAATCAAAGTTATGGCCCAAGCGATTCCTAGTTACATTATGAGCTGCTACAAGCTGTCAGAGGTCATTTGTCATGAAATCGAGGCAATGTTGGCAAGATTCTGGTGGGGAGCAAAGAACGGGGAACGAAAGGTTCATTGGATTAGTTGGGAGAAGATGGTTGTGTCAAAAGGATCAAGAGACATGGGTTTTTGTGGTATCAACGAGTTTAACACGAGTCTTTATGGGAAGCACTACTGGAGGCTAATGAACAGTGAAGACTCTCTAGTAGGGAAAGTTTTCAAAGGAAGGTATTATCCTCGGTCATCCATTGAAGAAAGCTCACTCGGTTATGCCCCTAGTTATGATTGGAGAAGCATACTGAGTGCAAGAGATCTAATTCATAAAGGAGCCAGGTGGAGAATAGGCAACGGGGAAAAGGTGCGAGTGAATTCGGATAGATGGGTTCCCAAAGAGTTTGATTTTTGGATTAGAGGTATCTTGAGAAACATTGATGATGAAACGAAGGTGAGTGATACAGACTTACGGAAATGGAAGCGCGAACATATCTTCTCTTCTTCTGAGCCTGAAGTTGCACAAAAGATTGTCATTATTTCATTATCGTCCAGATGTATTGAGGACAAAGTGATATGACATTTTGAGAAGGATGGTGAGTACTCGGCTCGATCGGCTTATCATGCTAGTATGAATGCTAAAGCAAGCAAGAAACCTGGCCCTTCTAGATTGTCGTGCACAAAGCTGTGGAAGAAGATTTGGAGTGCACCGGTGAACACGAGAACCCACAACTTTCTGTGGAGGATGTCAAAAAACATTCTCCCAACAAAAGACAATCTCTCCAGGAAAGGAATCAGTTTAGATTCATCTTGCCCCCTGTGCCATACTGAGAAGGAATCTGCGAGTCACCTCTTTATGCACTGTGTTTTTGTGAAGCAAATTCTGTTCTCTTCTCCTTTGAGCTACCGTGTCCCAACTGATTGTGATATCAAGGATTGGCTACTGGATATTCTTTCTTGTGGAGACGTGTTCAGTATTCAGATGTTGTGTACCGTGTTGCATAGAACTTGGCTAGCTCATAACAATGGGTCTTTAACCAGAAAATCAAGGATCCTGTTCGAGTGGTGGACGATGCTCTGATTGGAGTGGCTGAAAAATGGCCAAAGGATGTCCACACTATACAGGTAGATGCAGGGGTGAGTCCCGACAGGTCTATAGTTTTTGGGGGCGTAATTCAGGTCTGCGAGATGAAGATCATTATTGCTGCAAGTAAGGAGGTTTCGAGGACGGATACGGTGGTGGCTGAGATGCTGGCCATAAGATGGAGCCTTGGCATTGCAAAGGATTTGAAGCTTGATAGGGTACTCTTGCAATCAGATGCACTTGGAGCTGTTGACTGCATAAATGGTTATCAGAGCATAGCAGTGATTGATCATATTGCTGAAGATTGTAGAGTTTTATTGAGTTCCTTTAACTTTGCTTCTGTGATGTTTATCCCAAGAACTTCTAATGCTGATGCCCATAACTTAGTAGGGATTGGAAAGAGGACAGGATCTAGGACTTGGCTTGGTTTCTACCCTAAGGAGGTTCCTGATGTAACCAACTGTATTTTGATTTCTTCTGTTTAATGAAATCTGGTTTTTCCTTTAAAAAAAAAAAAGAACAAAAATGGCACCATAATGTAAGAAAAGCATGTAATACAACTATTCTTAGATATGGCATACTCTTCTAAGCATACAGAAAAGCACACTCTTCTCTTCTGATCTTTTTCAGCATGCTGAAACCAATCCAATGCAACAGATGAGTTTTTCTGTACATATGTCGGCTTGATACGTAATGTTTACTTACTCTGGCAATAGCAAAAAATGAATGACACCCTCTGATTAATTTTTTACTTCCAACAGTTCACTTTGTGTTGGAATCTTCCCCTCTTCCATTAGAACTTGGATGGCTGAGGATGTTCTGTGATCCTTACAAAACTTTAGGATTGCATCTACTGCAACGGGGTAATTTTTATCAAGGCGATTTGGAAAAAATCCTAAATCAACCATCTCGTTGAAAACCTCAAATGCAGATGTCAAATTCAGATCAGACAAATAAGCACTTAGCAATGCAATATAAATGAAGGAGTCTGGTTTCATTTCTTTTTGTTCCATCTCGCGTAAATAACAAAGGGCTTCGGTTGGCCTACAGCAGCTGCAAAGACCATAAATAAGTGCTATGAAAGCGATTCGATTTGGAGGGCACCCTTTTTTTTCCATCTCCTTCCAGAGCAAGAGAGCATCATCAGGCCTTTTTGCTTTGCATAATCCGTCCACCAAAGTTGTGTATGTAATAACACTAGGCTCCTTATCTTCTTCACACATTCTGAATAGAAGTGCCATAGCTTTATCAACAGAACCATTTTTGCACCAACTATCAATAAACAGATTGTAGGTAACAACGGAGGGAGAAAGACCCCTCTCAACAAGCTCATCGAACAAAATTCCAGCCTCTGCTAATCTATCGGCTTTGCATAGCCCTCTTATCAACACGTTAAAACAAACCACATCCGGACAGTGGCCGCGAGAACACAAATTCCTGAATATTTCCATTGCACGGTCCACTTCTTGAATGTTAACCAAGCCACCAATTGCTGCAGAATACGAAACTATATCAGGAAGGAAGTCTTGCTGAACCATGTTATCAAGAAACTCACATGCTTCCATCACCCTCCCGTGATTACATAGCTCTTTCACAAGAAGGGTGGTGTGTTTTATCCATGGTCCATGCCCACACGCACCCATCTCCTTCAACATATCGCGCGCTCCCGCGACATCCTTTCTTTTACACATGCATCCATAAATGGAGTTGTAAGTGAAATGAGTTGGTTCAACCCCTAATTCTCTCATCTCTCTCAAGAGCTCATAGCTCTCCCCCAATCTATTGGATTTGCAGAGACTGTCAATCAGATTGTTGTAAATAGAAATAGTTGGTTTACCAACAATTTTTCGCATATCATTAAAGAGGCTAAGGGCAAGGTCCAGCTGATCTTTTTTCAGTAAGCCATCGATCACAATGCTAAAGGAAGTGACGTTGGGTGAAACCAATCTCTTGGTTACCTTGGAGAAAGCATCCATCCGGGATGCATCATCCTCAGTACTAGATTTGCTATGACTCATCATTTGAATAAGGAGATAAGCTTCATCCATCGACCCATCATTCACATAACAAGTCAAAACAGCATTATAAATCAAAACAAGAGTTTTTTCATCTTCCTCCCCTTCCAGAATTTCCTTTAGTAGCTTGGAAATCATACTTTTATCATCCGAAAAAGATAATATCAATTTCGTAAAGATTCCAATATCCGGCTTGACCCCATATTCCTTCATCTCGGAAAGCAAACTCAAAGCCCTGCCACTGTCCTTATTCTTGCAGAGTCCTCCAATGAGAACATCATACAAGGAAACATCAGGAGTGAAACCATTCTCCCGGTGCATTTTATCGAACATCTGGAGTGCCTTATCAACCCGGGACTCCTTGACAAACCCATGAATCAAAACACAAAAAGTCTTCTCAGTAAGTCTCATTCCATGTTCACACATTCTCTCCACCAACTCAAAAGCCTTATCAACGTTGCCCCATTTAGAAAAATGCAACGCCATCATAGAACAAACACGTTCATCAACCCAACCTTTCTCCTCCATTTTCTCATAAACACTCAAAGCCTGATCAAATCTACCAGCATTGCAATAAGTAACATGAATATGTATGAATGTGCACTTATCAAACTCCCAACCAAAACCCTTCATTTCATTCAACCTCGTCTCCATCAAATGAAGCGAGCCACATTTCGAAATAACCTCCAACAAAGTGTTGTAGCAAAGACGATCTGGAACACAAAGACCCTTAAGCGACATTTCATCGAACACGTGGTTGGCTTCACGAACCAAGCGAAGATTACCGAGGCAGCGAAGGAAGAAGGAGAAAGCAGCAGGGGTGAAGGAGCATGAGGAGTTAGGGAGGTGTTTGGCGAGGTCAATGAGAGGTTGGGTTTGATGGGAACGGGAGAGGATAGAAGCGATGGCGTTGAAGGTGAAGGAAGTGTGGTTATAAGGGTGTTGGTTGGAAGCCCAGTGGAAGAAGCTTTGGGCGACGCGCCAGCTGCGGAGGCGCGTGAGGACGGACTCGACGAGGTGAGGGGTTAGTGAAGGTGATAAGGTGTTGAGTTCAGGAGCGGAGGGTCCTTTGGTGGTGAAGATGGAGACAATGGAATCTGCAGTTTGAGCAGAAGAAGAAGAAGAATAACGGAGTTTGGAGAAGAAGAAAGAGTGAGTGAGTTTGAATTTGTTGATTTTCAGTGCCATGAGACAGAAAACCTTAGAATTTCGATGACAACAACGTTACTTTATATGATTCCTTACAACGTTGTGCTTCGATGAAAATGAAATGCTGAAACTATGGAAGAACGAAAGTATTATGGACTATGTTAACGGTGTATACTAGATTTTGAACCACTAAAAAATATAGACAATAATATTCGTACACCCTCCAGTGTAATTTCTTTTATACATCCAACCCATAGAAAATAAACAATTTGATATATTATTAAAAATTTTAAAATTAAAAATAGATTATAATTGATTATAAGGTGGTAATTGATTGATAGTATAAAATTATATTATATTATTTTTTTTCAAAAATATATATAAAATATTTATTTAATTTATTAAAATAATGTATTTTAATATTTGACTTGGTTTATCAAATCAAATTCGTTGCTGTCAATTTTTATTTTTTTGCATTCACGTATTTGATAATTTTTCGATTGATAAATAAAAATCAAATGATTAAAATTTAAATAATTAAATAATGTTAACTGTTTGATCTTAATCTAACAAAAAAAAAGAAGAAGACAAATACGCGAATGCGATGGTAAGGAATAGTGGTCCTTGATTTACATAGTTGAAACTATCAAAAATCATTAGAAAGAAACTGAACATTTATGATATGATCATGATTATCAAATAATCATGGTGTGATCATGATTATCAAATAATCATGGTGAACAAGTCTCAAGATTCAAATCTATTAAAGAGATTCTCACTTCATTAATGAGAGTTGAACCTACAATGTTTTGGAGTGTGTGAGACAACTCTTTACTAATAGAATTAATCTACCTTAGCTAATTTATTTTTAAGATGTATAAAATATAATTGTTTCTAAATCTTAATAATCTAGTACTTACTAATTTAAATGATTTAAGTGATCTTTTGCATAAGGATCGTGATTAAATAAAGTTGACATTTTTCTCATAAATATCATGCACAAATGTGAGTAATATTTAATTTTTAGTTTGATGGAAGGTAACAAAAACATTCTAAAAAAATGAATGATATTGAGATAAAAAGGAACACCTAAAAAAAATAGAGAGAATAGAGAGAAAAGGGAGAAGGCAAGAGGAAGAAAAACAATTTTAAGAGATTTACTATCATATACAAAATATTAAACTCTTATTCATTTATACGAGAGGAAATAAATGATACATTAACAGTATAAAATAATTTTATATTATAAATCAATCACAATCATATATTTAATTATATCGTATTTTAATTTTAAATTTTTTAATAACATAATAAATTATTAACTTTCTATTCTATTGATTGATTATATAAAAAAATTTATAATTTTATTATAAAAAATTACCTTTATATAGTACAATAATTCATAAATATATAAAAAATTTATATTAAAATAAAAAAACAACAAGTGTACTGACACATGTGATTTTCTCTCTCTTATTTTTTTTTTTCTTTCACACTCTTCTCTCCTTTAAATTTTGATACACTTTCTTTTCTTCCATATCCACAATAAACTCTCATCTCTTCCATTGAAATTTCCTTCAGTCTTTCAATCTTTTTTTTTCTTTTATGTTTTGTTTCTTAATTTTGTTTCATCCTTTATTCCACTCTATTTTCGCTCTATTGTGATTTAGGTCTAACTTTGTAATATAGAACAATATAATTATTTAAGGAATAGGAAGAAAAATAAGATAAAAATCATATCTTAAAAGAATTTACAATTGACCAAAACATTGTTGTGGGTTTAGAATTCGTGATTTTTTGTTGTTTATAAACGTTTATAAATTCTTAGACATCAAATATGAAGTTGATTATTTGCATGTAAATAATTTGTTAATACATTTTAAATATTGGTTAATATGACATCAAAATTTAAAGTAAAATATAAGTAATACAAAATTGATTAATTCTATCTGAAAAGTTGGTTAATACATTTGAGAAATTGGTTAATTAGTTCTCCGACAAGAATATATAAAAAAAGACAAGAAGTACCAGCATACAATAAAATATCTACAAAGCACAACATCAACTCAGTATTTCAACGGAAAAACTGATATCCGGTCGGGGGCATACATCAAGCTCTCAACCATTGATGCATATGAAATAAACTTCATTTATTTTCGTTTCAATTCATTTTTGGGACATTGTATTTGACTAAACTTATCCTCTTTCTGAATAGGAACTATCCCTGCTGAACATTTATCCATTTTGAATCGCTTTAATATTTTATTTATATAGCCTTTCTGAGATAATCCAAACAGTCCTTATGATCGAATAAGACTTTATACCTAATTTGAATCAGACTATTTTTCATCATTTTCCATTAGGTTCTGTTGCAGTTGATTCAAATAAGGATTTTCACTTTATTCGAATCACAAGGTCTTTGATTTGAATCAGAATTTGTAGTTTATTTGAATCAAGCGTGAAATAGGTAAAAAAAAAATCTAATTTCTTTTTATTCCAATTCACTTACTCATTTGACACAAACCATGTATTGTTCTTGTTTCAAATCTAATCAGCTTTTACCACTCATTTTTGTGCTTAATCTCAAGCACATATAAATGACTTTGTAAAAAATTTCAAGTAATGAATCTCATTATCATTTTGTGATTTTCTGTGAAATCAACTCGCTCTGACTTTGAAAAAGTTCAAAACCCTTGCAAT